TGTGCTCGTGTGTGCTCAAATCCAGCTCCAATCTACGTAATAACTGCATCTGTTTAGTCATGGGGTACAGTGAATAATGCGAACCGCTCGCCGTGCTTTAGTTAACTAGTGACCTGAATAAACGTAAAAATATTGGATCACCATTCATCTCCAGAATCTACTTCCGTAAAATGGACTCGACAACCCACAGAACAGTCATAATATACTACTGATTACGTCCTATCGTTGGCAGGCCTTCAGCTTGGGTTCGCCCAGGCAAAAACGTAGGCTCTGACGATTCCTCCCGTACAAGTTCGGAAGCTCCGTAAAATACACAACTTATTCCGTGGTTCGGTTTTCCTCCTCCCCCCTTACCTAGAGCTACATTTCGCAGGCACTTGCATTGTTAAAAATCCCTCAGAAAAAGCTATTGCTTTCTGCTTATGTCACTGATGATGAATCCGTGATGGATATCGAAATGTCAGGTGAATAAAAGTGTTGTCCCAATGATCGAATCGTCTTCTTCTCAATTAGCAGAACTATCCCTTAAATTGTTGCAACGGGATTAAACAACATAAAATTGTAAGCGGATCGGGAGTTCGTAAACGCTTTTCTTAAAATTTCAAGCAATATTCCATGGAGTTTTCACGCTTCTGTTTAAGCTTAGTTTGTTGCTTGAAACGATTGGAAGTATTTGGCTGATAGGCGACTGATGCAACAAATATGGCCGCCTGTGGCGCAATATCCAAATCGTTTGTGTTAAGTTGACTGACTGACTGATCTAACTTTACGCCAGTTCACACAGATCCACTTTATCAGCTATAGTAAAATATTGAATTAGAATTATCAGTCAAGAACTCGAAACAACCACACTCACCATGTAGGCTTTACCATCGAGGAGGTCGGAAAAGCGGTGACGTTCACCCAACTCGGTGAGACGAATGTTTGCAACAGTCAGAAATTCGGAGGCAATCTGTAGGATGGCCTCCCGCGGTTCCACGCTTGATTTTCGCCAGCCTGAAGGTGTGGGATTCGAGGAGGTGGCAGTGGTCGCGGCGAAACCTTCCTGATTGTTGCGTTTGTTAAGAATGGAGGACGCACTGCGCTTGAGGCCCATTGAGCCCCTGGGACGTCGTCGTCGAAAGGAGACTCCCTTCTCGCTATCATGGGTCTCAGTTGGTTGCGCTGGCAGGTTCATTCCCGAGAGAGCATTGGCCCACTCTGGAATCTTTGGCGTCTGCTCAGCCAGGCGCTTTACTGAGCTGCCGCTGACGCATGGTCCTCCGGGTGCGGAACCATGCGACGACTGTCCGGAAACGACCGACCGAACATCGTCTACTCTCCTATGATTGTGAAAGTAAAAATAAATGGAACGTCGGAGCACGACTCAGACTGTCCACACATAGCTCTTCCTCACTAAAGTAACACAAATTTAGTACTCCAGTTATAGCAATTAACAAAAGCATATCAGAAGGAGTAAACAGAGTATGTTTAAATTGTAAACTATGCTACTTAAAGGTCGTCAGCATCGACAGATCATAAAGCTTCCTATGCCGAAAATGCGCCCCCAAGTTACCTAAGTGGCGTAGCAGTGTTCTATTTATCCATTCTAGTCGCTGACCAGTGGGCAGTTAAGATCGGTGCAATCAGACCTTGCCTAATGGTGTGGCATCAATTATCACGTTGACCTCTTTGTTGCTTGGTTTTATGTCCACTAACCTGACCCTAAGGATTCTTAACTTTCCAACTGCCTTTACCGGCCACTGTCAGTAGAA